TTACAATTTGGTGACAGTCACCTCCTCAGTGTGATAAACCCACTCACAGACGTCATCCCCATCCTGACCTTTTAAACCTGATGGTAAAAGGCAGGATAGCTCAGTTCATTACTGCAGGTGGCTAATGAGATCCAGCACCTAGAGACCCCTCAGATGTGCTGGGGAAAAGGTCCTGCCCTTCCTGATCGTTTGTCAGATATGCTAAGTGATTCTTACCCAATACTCACAGCAGGAAGCAACCAAATGTCATTAAAGCCTGTCCTTACTGTCCAGAGACAACTGTTTAACGGAGCAGGTCACAGGGGCCGAGAGAGCTTTTAGACATTGCCAGGTGAACGACTGAAACAGCACCAGCTGGCAGGAGACAGATTTCAACCTGTGGCACAGAAGGGGAGGTATTTACTGGGTTTACTGAATCAAAGAGGAAAGATACAAATGGTAAAACTAGTGGCTTCAGCAGAAAATATAGACCAAAAGACCAGAGGTCCCTTAGTTGGGGTTACTGGGGGTGCTTGCAGCTGATGGGTGCAGTGTTCCCCAACCCCTGACTCAGGGGAAGGACTCAGGGCTAAAACATGTTTATTGAGGTGAGGGCATGGATTAAACCTCCTTCCATACTCATACAGCTGGCTTGTTACATTTTAAATGCAGAGACTTTTTATTAATGAATTGGATATCAGAGCCACCACCCCCAGTACAACCGCTGCCTCTATAGTGTTCACTATCGTGGTAGCCCTTGCTTGACCAGTCTCATCATACCCCATGGCACTCCCTGATGCACAGTGTGGTTCCCACTGGAACCTGGTGAGCACAGCAGAGTCATGACACTGACAGAAAGGGGGAAGAGCTGTTGCCTTTCACTGTGCTGGGCACAAACATGGTGTGTGTGTTGAGCTGTAGCAAAACCACTACACTGTTGGCAGCCACTTGAATGCCTCAAAGCCCCTCCTCATCCTGTGGACATCCCAGAACACTCACCTGTACTTTGTCGCTGACCCACATTTCAGAGAAGCAATTTCTAGCTTGGTTTCTCCTCTGCCACACCAGAGCCTTCTCACCCAGTTTACCTGCAATGCCATTTGAATGTGTGTTCATACTGCAAGCCCAGTAGGATGACAGGAGGTAGACAACCTGCCTTTGTGCTGAGGGGGGGTTTAATTTTAATATCTTGGAAATTTCGCAGTGTTCTTCTGAGTGTGGCTGCCTTTCAAAACGACGAAGTCTTGAGTGCAAAGGGCTGGATTATATCTGCTGCAACCTGCCATTGCTAAGTGCAGTTGACCTCTTCTGCACACTCCAGTTCCAAAACACACGTCCTGTCACTCAGCATTAAAATTTCTTTTGGCACACAGTGTTTAACAGATGTGGTATATAGATTTTCTTAAAAAATACACACATTCAGCTTTTCCTGGGGAGTTTTCACATGTGATGAGTCTGTTACATGCCAGTTATTTAAAACAAACCCAACAAACAAGTGCCAAGGTAGAAGAAAAATGACTTGATGTGGGACCTCATCAATTCATGACTGAAACCTGTAGTTCTTGCAGAAGTTTTAGCTCTGGTATGGATGAGATGCTGTTTTAGCCTCCTTCCTGTGTGTCCGTGCACAGACATTCAGAGCTCCACAACTATCCTGTGAACACTGGGACATTCCCACCCCATCTTCACTGCTGCCTCAGGTTTTTCTCTGACACATACCCTCCCTGCTCTCCTTCAGGTGCCATTGTTTTTTGCCTTTCCCTGCCTGATCTCAGCCTCCATGCTGTGCTCTCCTGCTTGGCACCTGCTTCCCTCATCCCTGCTACATTCAGCATGCAGAAGAATGATGGATGGGAAAAGTCTACAAGCATAGGGGATTGACTGTGGACGAGCTGCTACAGCAGCTGGCAGGAGACATCAGGTCTCCCACACTATGTCTGCTGGTTTAACAGGAACTTTGGATCAAATACAGACAGGACTTCCTAGGTCACCTGTTTGCAGGTGAGACTCGTCACACATGTTGAAGATGCTGGTTTTTTGAGCTGTACAGTGTCCTGAGTGATGTTAACAGATTGGTTGCAGGGAGAGGGGACTGGGGTCCTGAAGGCTGACACTGCTCACCACTAGTCACCAAAGCAGTGGGAACCACCAGGAACTGCCACCACGGTAAAAAACATCACAAGAACAAACAATTCCCACAAAACTGTAGCTTACTTTGCTTGGAAGAATTGAAACACAGTGGTGGACTTAAAGATAAAATAAATAACATATTAAATTGGAGTCATCATTCTTCTGCCAAAACCTCTGCCTGACATGTACTGTTTAACATGTGTTTATTTTCCTTTGGATGAACATGGCTTCATAGTCCTTAAAATGCTCCTGCATAAAATAAAAGCATAATATGCAAAACAGCCTCTTGAAGATGTATTGAAGATACTTACGGCATTCTCCTTCTGTAGACAGTGTCTGTAGACAGTGTTTGTTTAACCATCTTTATTCGCAATAATTAACTGTTGCTATCACTATTCTTTTTAGAACTGATTAAAAGTTGTTCTGTACTTCTTTACCAATATATTTTTAAGCCACCCAATGCTTAATACAAGTTTGTAACCTGCAGGCTGAAGTCTCATGGAGACTCGTGCACATGAATAATTCATAAACTAAAGAACAGTGGCTATTAACATAAGTAAAACTACTTGAAAGAGAAAAGTAACTCATGCTTGAATTCCTTGCAGGAATTGACCTTAATTTGCTCTTAAAATCTAGGCTGCCCTATTAGGAAGCTTTCTTGTCTGTTTTTTTTATTTAGTTTATATAGGTATAGGAAACATGGATAAAAGAAGGTCTCCAAACTCTATAAACCTTCTAAGCTAGACTGAGCTTTCATGAAGGCTGTAACTCTGTGGACAACATCATAAACCAAAGTGTTTCTCTACCTCCTTCACAGCCTCAATGTTCAATAGTTTTTGTATGACTGTGAGGAGGCAGAAGAGATGACTCAAATGCCATTAGCGTTTACAAGACGGTTCTGTGAAGCCTTAAAAGCAGGCACCCATGTCAGTGAGGCTCAGCTGTCACTGTGCATTTGCATTCATAGCGTAAAAAGCAAATCCCTGATAAGTAATTATTTATTCCCTCTATTTTCTTTAAACAGAAAGAAAGCAGAGAAAATTTTAAGGAGCAATGAAACTGAACTCAGCTGTTGCATTCACAAAGTGCCATGCATTCATCTTGCTCTTAAAAGCTGTAGGGAAAAATCTGATAAGAGTACAGCTCTCCCTCCTTTCAAAGTAAACAGTGAAATATAAACTGGATTACTTTTCATATCAGGAACATGTCACTGGTGTTTTCAGGTGTTCAGCCTGATTATGAGTTTTGGCCATTTTATTCCAGAAAACCTCCACCATTTCACTGGATTCAAATTGCAATGGAAGTAATGCTGAGGTGATGTAGCCTAAGGTCCCTTTTACTTGCTATGTGGTAGAGAAACATACTAAAAGACTGGCTGTTTCCCTCAGAAGTTAAAAATTTGCCAGTTGTAAATGTGACTTGAACACTTTTAAGAAAAATCAAATTTTATTTTTTTTTTTGAGTCATTTACCATCTTCTTACCATGTGAGGTGTCTGTAGCACCAGAGAACAAGACTGACTGCAGCTACTCACTGCAGCATGAGCACTCTCTCCCTTCTCTTGGAACTGGCAGCTCATTAGCAGCCAGTTTATCAACTCTGCCTTTCCCCAGGCTTTTGAGCCCTCTGAATTCTTCATGGTCTTCCTGCCTTAAGATAACAAATCCATAATTTTTTCTACACAACAACAGGGCATGAGATTCAAGGGATGGAAAGTGAATTTTGGACTTTGATCAATGTCTTGGATGAAGTTTAATAAATTTTATGGATTGAGATGCATTCCTGCACTTCCACCCCAAAACTCCCTCAGTTTCTGACAGGAAAAAGTATTCTTCACTATATTCTCCAGGTTGCCCCTCAGTTGAGGACATTTTTAATACAGAAGGTGCAGGGTGGCCCAATGTTCCTTAGCTCCATGCATTATAATTTTGTATCTTCACCCAGGTTGCATGGACGAAGCTGTGCCTGTGTCACCTCCTTCAAGTTAACAAACTCAAGTTATTTTTCTTCTCTGTTGTCACAGGAAACATTTGTAAACATTGCAGGACACAGGAATGCAGCCTGGCTTTCATCTGTACCTTATCAAGGTGTCCTGGCCACTAAGCTCTGGCAATGGCTGCCCTGCCACTGTCTACCTTACATCCCTTGCTGTGCAGTCCTGCCCAGCAGGATGGGCAGACGGGGGCAGGTCTCCCCCTGCACGCCCTGCTTCATGTCAACATCTTCACTTTGCAGAAGCAGCACTTCCTCCACAAGGCTTAGCAGGCTCTGCCCACCACTAATATCCAGTGAACTCTGCAAAATTAATCCTTTTTTAATTGTTCTTATGAAGATTTGAGTAAGGGTCTAGGAAAACAGGTTTGGAAAGACATTTAAAAGAAAACCTAAACAATTTGCACAGAGACGAGACTGTCTGAATATATTCCAAGGTACCTTAGTCCAACAGCTGCTCCTCAGATGCCGATGGGTCTGGATGAGGAAGTAGTGCTACCAGTCCACCTGTGGGGAAACCCTGATTCAGGCATCCGATCACTTATGGTACCCCTGCCGCATAAAAAGTGGTCCTAGGTGGCCATGTGCTTTCCACGTAGGCTGAAAGGCCTTTTATCATATTCTATAAATGCATCCCCAACACCCAGTTTAGCAAGCTGGAAACACTACTGGAGCTGGATAGGTCTTATGGTTAAGGAAGAGCAGAATTTGCAGACCCTGACTTATAGGCCCCTGGGACCTTGCTATCAGCTTGCCCTGGGTTTTTCTAGTACAAAGTTGAGCTTTTGAAGCTTCCTTCTCCTTCTGTGCTATGCCCCCTTGTACTTCAGTCAGCAGGGCTGCATGACAAGGAGCAAGCAGAGCAGCCTTGTAAAGCATGAACCATCAGAGCGTAAGTACCTTGAATAAACAAACTGTGAGGAGAGAAACAAATCCTGACTGACTTCTTGCATCTCTTGACGAAAGCAGCATGTCCTGGCAGCCTGCATGTCTCTCAGCTCCAGAGGGATTAGCGTGGTGTTTACCTGCTCTTTCCCAGGCTGGGAAAACGTTTGATCTTGCTAATGTGTACACGAGTTTTTGACAGTTGCCATGGCACAACAGGAACTTTGCCTTCAGTCTTGCTGTTTGTAACCTTTGAGGACTAACCAGCCAAGCTTCCTGACAGCATCAAAATGCAGCTTATTTTAAATTAACTTCCAGGGCAAAAAGGGCTGCTTTCAAACGATCAGACACTGACTGAGTCAGATATTCCTCTGTCAGCAAGTTTCAGCTTTCTTTCAAGGAGAGGAAAAGGGTTTTCTGTTCCCAGAGAGCAGGGAACTGGATGGTTTTTGGGGAGCTCCATGGAAGGAGCTGGAGCAGGAAGGGTGGCACTGCTGTGCCTGCACCTGCACTGGAGGAACAGGGAAACATGTCCCTCTCCTGTGGGAGTCTGTCTGGGTACTAGTTCACTTTACTTTGTGCATGGTATTTAATACTTGTCTTCTGGTAGTAACTAATGCTCCATTGTGTCCCTGGGTACTTTGTGTAAAGCCCTATTTAATCACAATAAAGGCAAGATGCTGCCAAGAACATGCAGTGGGGGATTGCAGAACAAAATCAGGAACATTTCCTGGTGTTTCACAGCTAGAATAAGAGTGCACCTACAGCATCAAGTACATCACAGTAAGGGCCCATAGCACCGGTGCCTGTGTAGTCTTTTCTTCATTCTATCTTCACGATGCCCATCTTCCTTCATATACTTGAAAACCAACATATTAAACAGGATTTATATTAGTTAGGTAGCAGAACTAATACCAGCTGATGTGGTGGTTCGGCAGTGAGTTACGTACCACAGTTGAATGCCTTCCCCTAGCCCACACCACCAACAGTGTCCTAGTGTATGGGCAGTATATTTGCTGTATGAAAGCAGGAAGCAGCTGGGGGAGACCTTCATGATTGTGTGGTGATGCCTTCCCTTGCTGTGGGATGCGAATAGTCTTGTGCACACAGGTGTCGACATGTCGGCTATCGCACAATTAAAACTCAGGACTGAAATAAGCCTTTGCTTCAATTTTCAGTTTGTGACATGCTGATCATAAAGAATGAATAATGCAAAAAAGTAAATAATTAATAAAAACCTCTATTTGCTATTTCCAGTAAATGGTGCTGTTGTCTAAATGAAGGCAATGCTGAAAGAAGAAACAATATTGCCAGTGGTAATACCCCCTGTTTTTAATGGCTCCACTTATCTGGATCTTATTTGGCTTGGAACAACTGGAGTAACTAGTTCTCAAACATTAGCATCAGCACTTAAATTTATCAAGCTCTGAGGACTATCTGTTGAGATAAACTCAGTCTACCCAAAGTGGCAACATTAACAGCACTGATGGAGCCTCAAATAGAATTGGCAACTCCTTTGCAGTGCTAAATAAAGTAACAACAGAAAATTCACACCGTGGCTGGTCGCTCCCCATGCAAACAAACAAAATTCCCACGGGGCCCCTTTTCAGGTCCTAAATGGCTTGGTGGATAGGAAACAGCAAGATATGTCCCTTTTCTGTCACAGCTAAAAGTCATGTCCTGGTTCAACCCCTTGCTTCACCTTCATCCCCATTAAAAAATTTTGGCATTAGTTTTCTAAATTTGGGAGAGGAAAAAAAGGAGGGGGTCAGAGACCAAAACTGCTCCCGTTCCCAGTCTTTAATCTATCTCTTTCATCACTGCTGCTTCTTCCCTGGGTTTGCACAATGGGGTTAAAGCCCAAAGATGTAAGAAGCCGGATACTGGTTATTCTATAACTTATCCAGAGGTACAAGCTGAGATGAATAGACCTTTCTTAGTATTGTTCAGTGCTGGTGGTGAGTTGGAGGGTAAAACTCTACCTTTCTTCAAGGAATTGCCTGTCTTAGCCTATGCTAACCGTAGCGTGCATGGCAAAATGCAGTCTGCCTCACCTGGAATAACCATAGGTATCCTACAAATACTTTACCACGCAGCAAGCACACAAACTACCCAAGCACCTTTTTACAAGCTGTCTTTTTACTGCCTGGAGCCCTGATACCTAAAGAAATGAACTATTACTTACTTAAATGGCTCAATAATTTTGCAACAGATGGCTAGCAAGTTAAATGTGAATTCAAGCAATATGAAAGTGGATTCATATTCTTATAGCTGGTTCAATAACACTGCTCAAGCTTAATCTGGAACCAATCATACTATTTATTTTCTATAGCGCGTGATTAAATTAGGGTTTTTTTCTTGTTTGTGAAACATTCACAATGGACTCCTGTTTCCTCTCAGTCTGACTTCTGATTAAGTGCCAGATAACTTACACAAACTAACCTGTTCGTGAACTGTCGATTTAGACTGGCTAACTAAGCTGCATGGCCTGGCTCCAAACTGCTGATTGGAAGCTTCTCATACAAGTCTCTTGTGACAACAGATAGCACGCTGAGGTTCATATGCCTACTTATAGGCAATCGCCAATATCTCATTTCAGGACTGCAGTGAGCTTGCCACTTGGCCCTCCTAGCACTTTGTAGGCTGTGCCAGTGAGGCCATTGTGAAAGTACAGCTTGTACTTTCCAATAGAGGTTTTGCAGCTAACTTCTACAGCTCACAGTAAAATAAACACGTACACAACTTGTCTGCCTTTTCCAACTTTGCCTTTAGCCAGCATAAATTTTTTTTAACTGAAGGATCATATCCTGTCAGAGACAATAGTGAAGCAACATTTCTACCATAGACAGGGTTAGAAAACTCATTTACTACCAGACATTTGTTCCTTGTGTGATTTTAATAAAGTAACATGTCTAAACAATAAATATGAAAAGCTAGCACAAGGATTGATGGTATAAGAAAGCTTTTTCATTAGAAAGCACCAGAAAGCACTTGTAGAGAAAGGACTCCTCTTGAATTCTAGCAAGTCTGTGTGTGAGGGCTGTGTGTGACTAGGAATTTTAATTAATTAACCAATGGGAGAAGATTGGTAGAGGCTTTTGTAGACCCTTGTTATTGATCAGAAAGAAGACAAAAAATGAAGGAAGGAAGGAAAGTAATGGGTAATGAAACAGCAGAAGCAGAACTTGGAGAAAGAATAATTCTTGTAAAAGTCATCAGATAGAAGGTACAGTTAATGGCTTTCCATGTAGGACACTAGAAGGCACCAGTGAGAAACAACTGAGAAATTGATGTACAAGAAGTTCAAGGAGTCCAGACAAGAAAATCTGGGAACTGGAAGTAGTTTGCAGAATGTAAAAATACATATTGTAGGGAAAAACAAAATACAGTTGAATAGCAATCAAAATCGATCTCTGGTACTGAAGCATTTATGCTAATGAGAAAAGAGAAATAAATACCAGACTGCTGAAACCTCTTTGGTACTGATGATGGTATAGAAAAATATTACTTAAGAAAGATTGCTAGAAAAGATATTAACAATACAGGACGACAAATATTATACACAATACCATATCATTAGTAGTGTGTATAATACACAAAAAAGCAGAACATCATTAAGGAAGATTTTCAATTCCCAGATATCAATTAGAGAGGAAAATCAGATACCTGGTTTGATAGCCAAGAAATTTCCTCATCAGTGTACAACTGAGAGACAAATTCCAGAGCAAAGAAGGGATTTGCATCTGGTCCTGTTAGAACATTGAATCATAGAAGAGTTAGGGTTGGAAAGGACAACATGAGGCTATTGTAAAAGTTCTGGCCACAGATCAACACAGATCAACAAAAAGAGCCCTTATTAAACATTTTCCAGTTTCAAAAGGGGAATGTGTAGGATACAGGAAGAGCTAATGAGTGAATTCATTGGCACTAAGGAGTTCAGAAAATTGAATGAGACTTGGAAGATAGAGAAAAAAGGTGTTACTAAGAGCTTCATACCAAGAAAAGGAGAAAAATGTAAAGAAGGGTCCTAAAATTATTTAGGTAAATGACCACATAAAAATTTTGTTGGGAGTAGGTAAAAAAAAAAAAAAAAAGAAAAGAAAAAGAGCTTTTCCAAAATTCAAGGTAACTCAGAGATCACATCTTAAAGCTGACTCTATAGCTCTAGGCAGCTATTCTGTAGTGCTCATCCCTGTATTACATGAAGTCTACAGATACCTTTGAAATTCATTGTGATCTTTATTTAATGGCTATTCTGTTATTCTATTTTCCTGGATGACAGGAAATTTTTCTGGGTGATTAAATATATTTTAGACTCCTTTTCGTCTTACAGCACTTATTCAAAGTGTTTGAGATGTTTCTGTAGCTTCATTGCTCCTCTTTCATCCCATAGATCTTGGACAGAGGTCACATCCACGGCCAGAGATGGTGCTAGAGCATACTTTCTTTTATAGCTTATTCCAGATGTCTGTAACAAATTTTGGTGGCCTTCTCCACCAACCAGATGGGGAGAGGGCAACCAGTTGAAAAGGTGTAGAACCTAACCCAGCCACAAGCTCAGGTGGGACTAACTGGAAGGCTGCACATTCCCTTTAAGTCTTCTCTTGCCTTTGATCTGCTGCTGCCTTCTGGCTTTGCTATGTAATAAGAATCCCACTATCTTTAAATATTACAGGTTTCTGCTGCTCTTTCAGCACTTCCCTGAAATTACTGAAGGATCACAGTAGCAATTTATACAAACGGTGGAAGTACAAGCTACAGTCCCCGTTTTCTTTCATTTTCACCGATTGTTCAATAATTCATGTATACTCAAGATTTCAAGTCACTTTCAAGTTCTATGACTGATAGGGTGTGGAGCTATAATTTACTTACATGAATTTTTCATTACCTCCTTTCCAGTGAATTTGGAGAAGGTATCTCAAAACTTCAATTCCTTAGTATTTTGACAAGGATCCAGTGACTGAGCTGAAATTTTACTTCAATTTAGCATGGAAATTCTGTTCATCTTCAACACCAAAAGATATTGTATTGTCATTTCACTTATTACCTTCCACTTACAATGAGTGCTTCAGATGCATTTGGCTAGCCTCCCAGTGCAAAGAAGGGCAAAATAAAGCATCAGTTTTTAAAATACAATATTCATTACAACACATGTAGTCACTATGAACGGCTAATGTGGTCAGAAATACATGTTGGTCTTGATTTACAGATATTAACTCATTTATTGGTATTTAAACAGAAAAAGTACTAGGTAGACAAGGATTGGTATAAAAAAAGCACTCACCAAGGCTCAATGAAAAAAAAAAAAAGTTTTTTATCAATATTTTATTTTCTGCCATTAGGGATGCAAGATCGAAAATCTATCCCTTAGGTTTTATCAAAAAGCCCTACTGCTTTTTTTATTGTAACATCTTAAAAACGTACATCCCTTCCAAAGTTTCATTTCCCTCCTATGCTCTGCTCACTCCTAACTCCACTATCCTCCTGCTCCAAAGCTAGTGTGGCTCTCCCTCTCTCAGAAAG